CCTGGGGCCAGAAAGAAGAGAACAGCAAAGAGAAAGAGGAACCTCCTCATGACTTGCGGGGTCTTGAGAGATCAGCACAGAATCCATGAGAAAACAACAGCAAACACCCAAATTTATACATTTCCCCAGACTGAATAGCATCTTGATCAGTGAGCCATGTCAGAAATGAGGATGTCTCCGTGCTCTGCTGAGTAGAGCCCACGTACCTCAGTGGGTGTCACTCAGTCTACACCTCATCATTTTTCTGACTCTGGAAAGTTCCCAAGAAGGCAAATGGAGATGAAGGGAGGATAGGCTAGGGTGTACATTGATGACCAAGAGTAGACACATAAGTCAGCAAGAACGAAAGGTCTGGAATCTGGTGGTTTGGATTGAAAACCTGACTATGCTCCTTAATAGCCTCAGTTTACACACATGTAAAATGTGCATAATTATATAATATTATAGTACATCAGCTAATAGCTGGTGCACTACGGTCAGAGAGAGTCTGAATTCCAGCTCCAACATGTATGAGCTGTGTGCACTTGACAAATTGCTTGATTGAAGCATATATTTCACTATTTATTTTTAAAAATGTGAACTACAGTGTATCTACACACTTTAAGTGCTACATACATCATCTCATTTAGCTCCCTGGATAGTTGTAAACTTAGCAAATATTTGATTGACTATATATATGAATATTGATATAGTATTTTATATACAGTATTTTAATTATTAAAATATGTGTAGAAATATAAATGTTCTTAGGTATCTTAAATAATAACAGTGACTTTAATGGTGTGATGTTTTCCTCCAGGAAGAGAAGTACTTCAAATGTTACAGGCTGTCACTATTTTGGTTAACTCTTTTTCCCAATTTGGAGTAAGTCAGTTGAGTGGGTTGAGGGAAGATCTGAATTATCCACTTTAATTCTTCCCTCTTGATAAATAGGGGGTGGGATGCCTCTCTTTAAGAAAATTGAAATTAGGGAGACGAGCATCCTTCCTCATCACCCCACTATTATCGTTGCTACTAAAAGTCGAAATGCCTTAGAAGTGTTTGTTAAAATGATGATCAACCCCTGAAAAACAACAAATGATTGCTATGTTATTGAAAACATGGTTTTCATATATAGATAAGATCATGAATTTGCTTCTTCATGCTATACTGATATCAATAAATGATAGATTACGTAAATAAAAGTGAGAACAGGAGCACATTTTTTTAACAGAAGAATCCCAAATAGTTTATGGAGATACTGCCTCTCAGGAGGTAGGGCTCGATTTCCTCAACCTAAGTGAAAGTGATTTACTTCATAGACTAGAATGGGGGTGGGGGGCACGCTAGAGTGGAGACCTGGCAGACACGATCTCAACCAGTGACCAGGGTCCCATCAAGCGTGGTCAGTCACGGTCGTATCACATACCCCTGATGCGAGGCTGGGATGAGAAGGACACTTCGCTCTGTGCTGTTGGTCACCATGATATTTTTGTTAAGTATTTTTTGTGTGTATATAGATTATGTGTTATGAATTGTCCAGTTAAGAATAATAAATTGGAAATACACATTTTCTCTATTCCCTTCCAAACCTCACTTAAAAAGATTTAAATCCACAAGAAAAGACAAAGTTCCAGACATCTTCAATTATGCACGGTCTCATTGATCTTAATGATTATGTCATTATCTCACTTATGTTTGCTGCTTAAAGTGGATCTGATTGGTCAGAAAATGAAAGCTGTGAACATAAAAGACCCGCAGTTGGACCCTCTGAAATGAATGATTGTTAATAAGGCTATGGAAATGCCACTCTGTTTTAGGATTTCATGTGCCTTTCCATCTAAATGCAAGATGTATAGCATTTCAGTCCATTCAGGCTGCTGTAATGAAATACCACAGACTGTGTGGCTTATAAACCACAAACATTCATTTCTCACAGTTTTGGAGGCTGGAAGTGCAAGATGGGGGCATTAGCATGGTTGGGCTCTGGGGAGGACCCTCTTCCGGGTTGCAGATGGCCTATTTCTCCCTGTGTCCTCACATGGGGGAAGGGGCAACAGTTCTCTCTGGGCTCTCCCTTATAAGGGCACTAATCTCATTCATGACAGGTCCATCCTTATGACTTAATAACCTCCAAAAGGCCTCACGTCCTAATACCATCAGCTGGGGGTATAGGATTTCAACATATAAATTTCGAGAAGATACCAACATTCACACCAATGCATACAGTAATCTGTGTGAGCTCCCGCAAATAACCAACTAACCCTCCTGAGGAAAGTGCAGCTTTGTAAACCGCCAAAAGAACAGTCTTCCTGCCCATATCTCACTGTGGAGAGAGGGGATGCATTTGATTGTGTGAATGCTAGGGACAGGAGCGTAGGGAGTTCCAGGATTTAGGGGCTGATCAAGGAAGAGGCAGTAACACACAGCGATCATTCCTGAGTGGCACCTGGGCAGGGTTGCATGAGGAGGGAAGACCTCCCCAGAGACAGTGGAAGGAGGCCTCCACTCCAAGGGAAACTCCAAGGGGAGAAGGGCATCAGAGAGGGACTCAGGTATCTGGATGATGTTGCTCAAAAGCAAGCAGTGAGTCTCCAGCTCAGAGAGCTCAGAAGGGCGACAGCAATTTGGAATCTTTTATAGATACAGAGTTTGTCTTGTCCATGATCAGCGGGTGCTGAGTACAAGTTTTGTGGGGTATGCAAAGCAGGAAAGCTCTAACTGGCTAAAAATATTCTTATTTGTACTCTACTCAAAGCAATTGGGTGTGGAAGAATTTGAGTTTGGAGCAGGGGGCTTTGAGGTAAAGAAGCAAATACCATAATGAGCAATGTTCAGGGGCCATCCTTGGCCCACAGATACAACACGTAGGCCTTGTGATTCCCATGACGAGGGCAAGCCTTTTACTTGAGGCAGTTTCAAGAGGCCAACAGTCATCTTACTTTTCTAAGACTGGAAGTTCACTCCAGGTCAGGACAAGTTTCCCAATTTGCTGGGCCTAGTGCAAATTGAAAATGCACAGTCCCATATTCAAAAAGTAGGAAAAAGGTGCCATTAAAGCCACCAAAATATAAAGCTTTTTCCTTTCTTCCCTGTCTCTTCAATCTGTCATAGTATTTTTTGTTTGCTATTTAATGTCGCACTTCCTTGGGCACAGGGTTACGCAAGCGGTAGTAGCAGACTGTCACAGGCGCCTGGAGATCCCCCGTCTTGCCACTCTGCACATATGTGTGTGCCCCACTGCCTGCTGGGTTGCCCCCTCCTGCCAGCTGCTGCTAGACCAGTGTGCCTTACCCCAGAGAGAGTCAAGCCAGGCATCTCTCTTTTCCATGGGCCCCTCCATGGTGATTGGGTGACTCCCATGGATATCATGACATCTGTGCAGGCATGCATTAGGTCCTGGATTGGGGATTGGGGAGAGGCTCATTCGTGTCTAGTTACCTGCCTACAGCACAGCACTGTGAGCGCAAGGTGGAACAGATCATCTCCATGAGATGCTCATGGCTCAGAAACTCATCTCCAACCCTCTCACCTGGGGGCCCAGGGCTCATGAGGCAGGGGCAGAGGGCAGGAACCTTCCCAGGAAGGGGAGGGGGAGAAGGAAGGAAGGAACATACATGAGTTGAGGTCTCAAGGTCCCAGAGCATGCTGCTTGTTCCATCAGACTTCATTTACAAAGCACATGTTCAAAGATAAAATTGTTAAGAACTTCAATACTGCAACTGCAGAGCATTAAACCTCAAGTCTGGGAGAAGAATGTGTGCAAGTGTCACATGGCCACAAAGCCATTTGGGTCCAGGTTATTAAAAATGCTTAAAAGTTGAAAGGCATTAGACGCAGCTCTCTATCCCCTAGTGCGTATGTATTAGCTTGTGTTCCTGAAGGTGAATTGTTTGCCTGCCACGGATACCAGCATACAGATAGCAGCACTGTTGTGCTTTATAGGTCAGGAAATATTCATTACGAATTAGTGGACTTGAAAAAGAGTCTATGGAAAAGTTGATAGAGAGATATGTGATAGAGAGATAGAGAGATTGTGAATGGCTATAGCATGACATTCACACTGATATACACTTTATGTACAGTATTTCAGTTAATCCTCTCAAGTATCCTATGGACTATGTCCCATTATTACATCTTCATTTTAAGGATGAGGAAAGGGAGGTTCAAAAAATTAAGCAACCCGTTCAAGTTCATACACTTGCTAAATCCACCTGTCTGACCTTAGAGTCGACATTTTCAAATTATCCTATTTTTCTTTCTAAAAATGAAGAAGAGAGCATTGTACAAGCATAGGCAACAAGATGGGACTTATCTGGGGGTACAATGATATGAAGGTCATTTCTAATATCCATATTCTTAATGAATTAAAAGGACGTAGTAATTATGACTGATCTGCTTGGTGACATTGTTACAGGCTCAGGGATCCAGAGCTAACTTGGCAAAATGGTTGCTCTCCTCCTGTTTTCCTTGTGATATTTATAGACAGCACAAATGAAAGCCAATATAGTAACAGTCCACATTTATTGAGCTTATTCAGGTACCAGCTCTCCTTCTAAGCATTCCATATGTTCAAAGCACTTTTGCTTCATAGTTATGCCAGATCCTTACAACAACTTTGAGAGGCTGACAGAATAACTGTGTTCTTTCTCAATAACTGTAGTTGGTCCTGATCTGATAGATGATGGAACTGAAGTTGGGAGAGGTGAGAGAAGTGACATGCTCACAGTGCCTGGATCAGTAGGGCAGAGCTGTATGTGGTTCCTGGTCTTCCAACTCCTGGTCTGGTGTTCTTTCCCCTACTCCAGTCAGAATGCCCAAAATATAAGGCTTTATGGAGGCCCAGGGTTACTATCCATCATATGAGTCCTTGATCCTGGGAAATGGAGCATATAAATGTGCTTTCTTTATTGATTCACTTCACTGACCAAGAGCATAGCCCATCACTTTCAAATATAAATAGGCCTCTTGACCTCTCAGAGAAATCCCAAACCTCTGTTCTGAAGAGTCTTTCCTCAGAGATGGCCCCAAACAGGAAGATGTTTTATTTTTTCTTTGCCTTTTTCTTTGTTTTGGCTCAATTTCCATCAGGTAAATGAAAACGGATGGGATTTTGATGGGCGTGTCATAAAACTTGATGATTCTATGTACGGCCTTAAAAATTGAGAGTGACAGTCAGCTCCCCATTGCACTTCTCGTAGGAGTTTCTTGACCCTGCAGTGGCATTTTCTAAGAGCAGAGTGCTATTCCCTCTTTTTATACCTTCTTCTTACTGGTTAACAGGAGTGCTAGCCTTCAGAAGTAGAATAAAGAAGCAAACTCTGTGGTCTGCTGTTCCCTGACAGCAGATGTGTCAATTTGGGAAAACTATTTTACACAATGTTATTTCCTGCACTGATTTTAATACCCAAAATGTGCTTTGTTTTGAATTTAGGGTGCCAGGCAGGACTTGAGTATTCCCAGCCATTTCCAGGAGGTGAGTTAAATCCTTTGTGTATAATTTTTACTTTTAGGAACTCTGACCCATCAGCTATGTCTGACTTCTGAAGACAAAGAGGCAATAGAGATAATAGTGAAAATAGAATTGCCTGAAAACCAGTCCACCAGCTCTACCTTCTTCTCTTCTTTTTGTTCCCAGCATCATATCTGGATCTTCCATTTTTCGGAGAAAGCTCTTTGTTACTGGATTGTAATTTTGGCCATAGAGATTTGCACCTGGTGGCTATTCTCATTAGCTCATGGTGCAAACTAAACCAAGGTCACAGGATCAAGCTTGTAGCAGCCAATTAGCACTGCTCTGAGCCATGCTTATCCAGCTCTTATGGGCTCTGCTCCTAAATCCAGTAAAGTATGTTGCTAATGTATGCTGTTGGTCTAAGAAATATCAAATAAAGGAGTGAGGATGGTTCGATGAAAATTCGTCACCGTAGTACAGAAACGCTGTTCATAATGAATGGCCCACTGATCTATTTTTGTGGACTCATCTTATACAGGAAGAAATCATATTATAAACAGAACTGAAAGAAATGTTCCTGGGTAATTGCAAACAAAATTTACAAGTGTTTAGACAGAATTTCAGAGTGAGAAAGTTTAAGGGTGCTACTCATGACTGAGTGCTTACTATGGACCAGGCAGTCTATTACCAACTTTATGTGGATTATGTCATTTAATCTTTGAAAAATCTCTGTGAGGTAGGCACTATTATAGCCACCATTTTACAGAGTTGAAACAGAAGCACAGAAGAGATGCTAAATAATTTTGCCCAGGGGAGATAAATAATAAGTGGTAGGCTACAAGCAAAACTTTTTTTGCACGGAAAAGACACTACCTGCCTGATCCATGAAAGTTACCCTGGAAAATGATTTCTGGTTGTGTGAAAAAGCTTCTGCTTAAAGTAACAACAAAAATTGATAATTGAGTATATAGTGTTTTGCAAAGTATTCTAACATAAATTATTCCATTTGACCACTAAAAGAATTTAAAATATAGACAAGTATTTCTAGAATGTCCTTTGGACAACTGGGACAGCTGAGATTGAGCAGTTTAGTGAGGACCCTTGACCAATGCCAGGCCCAAACAAGAATTAAACCTAAGTCTTCTAACTCCTCCTTCAAGGATCTTTCAAAGCCACAGGCTATCCCTCCCATTTCCATCTTGCAACCTCTATAGTTGTATCAGGCATGTATTGTGATAGTTCAACAAAATATATGACACGTTTTCTGACTGGGCTTCCTTTTGACACGTGCCAGGTTATAAACCAGAGAGAACAGGGATTGTGCTTAATTCTTGCTCAGAAATTAACTCTCCCCAACTCCATTCTGAAAAAAGTGAAGCTCTTGAAAACTCTGGCTGGTTCTTGAAAACACTCTTTGTAATCATAGATCCAAACCCTCCCTTTTTGTGGCCTTTGAGCTTCTCCCCATTTCCACAGAGTCCTGGGAAAGGCCTATCAGCAGCTCTTTCTCCGTGTAGGTGAGTTTGCTGCTTGTGAGCCCTGCAGGCTCCGACGGGGCAAATGCAGGAGGATGTGCGCCGAGGATGAAAAAGCTGTGGGAAATTGCAAGCTGAACTTTTTCTGCTGCCGACAGAGAATCTGATAAACCAGACCAGCGCTCCTCTGGCCTCAGAAGCAGGACTGGATACTCAGGGAAGGTCAAAAGAAGTTATGTGGCTGACCCAAGTCATGTGTGAGTGTCAGGGTCATTCTCATTTCTCTCTCCCTTTGTTTTGTTTTTTTGCTAATTTCTTAAGACAATCTTTAAAAAAATCTAGACATGAGTGGGTACCTAAGAGCTCAAAATCATGAGAGGATTCCTGATACCTACTTGCTTAATCAGATACGATTTCTGCATATTTGTAGAGTATCCTATAATTTATAAATCTTTTCTCATACTTTTGTCATATGACTCAAGATCACCTTATAAGGTAGATTTTATCATCCTCATTTATATTTGAAGAAATTGAGACTCAGGGAGGCTGTCATTTCCTGAAGATCACAGCTGGGACCAGAAAAGGATGCACACACCGAGGTCATGTTTTGTGTATCTGTATGTGTGTTCTAAATCTCCCAAAATGGATAATTGGAAATGACACCCATATCTATGTTAATGGAATTATAATTCTATAGAGTATAAGAAATTATTTTTTATCCACATGATTTCTTGATATATCAATAGATTTTCATTCATTTATTCTAGTACTTATGGTACATTTTAAAACCACTCTCATCCACTCAGTTAATGTCCATGGCACCAACTTTGCCTTCTTCCTTTTACCAGTGAGTGAAAATGTTAGAGATTAATTTAAAAAGTTGAGTATGGAATGTATAAGAATAGTTGACTGTATGACTTTGCCTTCTGAAATAAAATGTTAGCTTCACACAATAAAGGTCAAAATTATTAGACCTATGAGCAGTGACTCAAATTTGATCATTCGGTTTTAACATGTGAGACTGAACTCTATTTTGCTTAACATTTGAGTGTACCATTGTATCATCTGTCTCTTTGTGTTCAGCTCCATTTCCTGCTCTGCTCTAGATAATTGGCACTATTCTCTGCAAACTACATTCTCCAAGCTTCCTGGCTTCTGGCTAGTTTTAGTCAATGCAAGTGCCTGGTAGGGGAGTGGTAGATGGAGGAAGAAAGTCCTCAGGAGTCTTCTCCCTGGCTGTCTCTGCTCCAGCAATGGCTCCATCTCCCATAGTAAAGCCTCTGCTTCTGTGTCCTCACTTATCACTTGGCAGTCCCACTGCAGGCACAGCTTCTGCCAACCAGTCCTTACTTCTGGGCTCAAACATAGTCTCCTGTTTTTCCACCAACTATAGACCAGTGGGAGATTGCAGCTGTGGCCAACATAAGGGTTGCCTCATTGCTCCCATTTTGCATGTTCAGCTTTTCCAACACTTTCTTACCCGCTGTCCATGTTAAATTTCCCCTGTTGAACTCCCTGTTGTGCTCCTTTTCATGCTTGGAGCCTGTCTGATTTGACCCTCAGGTTGGTTTTACTGTCAGATCTATTTATATTTGATCAATTGTTCTCCAAAAGAGATGTGAGACATAATCTTTCTGAACTCTAGAGTGTTTACTTCATTTTCACAGGAATTTGCTCAGGGAAGTTGGAAGTAGGATACCGGTCTTAAGAATCTACAGTTGAGTAATCACCTGCTCATGAATACTCCTCCTGATCAGATCTCCACAGCGGGAGTGTGACTGCGGTTTACAGAGGATCATGAAACCAGGATATTCCTTACTCATTCCAAATACCTTATTGCTTGATTCCGAAAATTGAAAATGTGTTGGGACCTAATTTATGTCTCTTTTTATAGAAGAATCCATGTGTATGTCTCAGAGTCCAACAGAGATATTAGGCAGAGGTTGTGCCCTGATTTTACCCTACTAATTACCTTGAATATCATCAAGAGTCAAATAGCTTATGGTCACAGAGGGCACGTCCCATAGATGCTCACCTATTCACAAATTACCCCCTTCTCTCTTTCTCTTGCTCTCTTCTGCACTTGGCTCCTTTCTATAAATTTCCCATCCAATTTCCCCTTCTTCCTTGAGACACCACGTCCTTCCCATTGAATAATAAAGCATCAATAGATACTAATTTCTTGTTACTGGAAAATTCAGCCCTTTTAGGTGTCAAGTGGATGCCCCTGACTTCCTCAGATAAGTTTCTGCTAGTTCCATAGCAACTTTGGAGATGTCTGACATCAGTTTTCGTGAGATCTTCCCAAGGGAAAGGCCTTCTGAAGTGGTGGGTGGTCAGAGAGAAATGGCGAGGAAGAAGAGACACTGGTGCAGCTGCATTTCTCTTGAAGTATCTCCACTCTAGTTAGTCCAAATAATACTGCTTAGCACGATGTTAACTGTATTAATTCTGAAATTGTAGCTATTGTAGGTCTTATTATGCTAACCACCTAGTATCCTTTCTTGGTTCTGAGTTCCACTTCAAAATTCCCTCGTAAAGGGAATGACAATGTCTATAGGGCAAGACTGATCAGTTTGGACTGAATTCCCAAAAGGCATAGAACAAAACACTAAGTACCATGAACTCCTGCATTGCCAATTGAGATTCTGGACCACAGATTCAGGAATAACAAAGAAGTTGACCAGAAAATATGATTTGAAGCACTCAGCTTCTACCTACTTGAGGGTGTAAGAGACAGCTTAAGAAGGCAAGGGACAGGATTTCTTTGGAAAATGAGTTGGTGTGTTTCGATTGTGACTTTACTCTGCCTATCAGGGGAGATGCAGGAGGAACACATCTCTTTCACGCCAATTCTTATGCGATTGACTTCAAGAAGGCTACTTGGAGAACTCAACCTGCTACCACATGGTACTCATGCCTGACAACACCTGAAATTATCTGCCACTAAAGAGCTCTGGCTGGAGTTGCCCATGATGGCAGGACAAGAAAAGAGTAGTAGTGGAGTAACTGCACTTATGTATTAGGCAGGGAAAGGGGTGTGAATCCCATTGACCAAATGAATGCTACAAAGGTCACAGGGCTAAAATCATCTTGAAGGGAAAAATACCCAATAATGTGGCCTGTTAGGGCAAAGGGATCCAGCAGTAGGTCATTTTAGGATATAGCCCTGGAAGGAGAGGAGTTGAGGTAAATTCATTATACATCAACTAGAAAGAATATTAACCATTCAGGAAACTGTGCAACGCAGCAGCCCACAGGAGTGTTGAAAGAACACAAAAATGTCCTTACCAAAAAAGATTTTCCTTAGGATACTGCTGTATTTATTTATTTCACTGTATAAGAAATACCAAAAATTTGTCAGGTTGAAACAGCAAACATTATCTCACACTTCCATAGGTCAGAAGCCTGGGCTTCTGTCTGCTCAGGGTTTCACAAGACTGAAATCATAGTATTGGCTGGGACTTTGATATCATCTGAGGCAAGAGATCTTCCAAACCCATGTTGCTCTTGGAAGAATTCAGTCACTTGCAAGAGTAGGCCTAAGATGGCTGGTTTCCTGTAAGCTGTCAGCCTGGGGCTGTCCTAGGCAGGGAGAGGCTGCCTAGCATTGCCTGTCCTTTGGCACTTTCTACAAAGTGATAGCTCTCTCCTTCAAGAACAGCAAGAGACCCTCTCATACATCAAAACCATCTAACTTCTTTTTAATATCACAAATGAAGGGGGAGGAAACAAAGGTATGGGGAGCAAAGTTTTTATCTCCCTTGAAATTATGTTAGCATTAATCCAAAATAGATTGTTTTAAATCAATTATAAATCACCAAATTATTTATAAAATATCTCAAAAATATATACAAAATAAATGAGAATTAAACAAAAGAGAATTAAGATGTATATCAGAAAATAACTATTTAGTACAAAAGAGGGTAGGAATGGAAGAGCAGTGGAACAAAAAGATTTAACATTTAGAAAACAAAAGCAAAATGGCAAATGTAAATCTTACCTTATCAATTACGATATTAAATGCAAATGAATTAAACTCTCCAATTAAAGACTGGCAGAAGAGGGGGACAACCCAGTGGCACAGTGGTTAAGTTTGCATGTTTTGCTTCAGCAACCTGGGGTTCACTGGTTCAGATCCCAGGTGTGGACCTGCACACTGCTTGTCAGGCCATGCTGTGGCAGGTGTCCCACATATAAAGTAGAGGAAGATGGGCATGGATGCTAGTTCAGGGCCAGTCTTCCTCAGCAAAAAGAGAAGGAATGGTGGCAGATGTTAGCTCAGGGCTAATCTTCCTCAAAAAAAAAAAATGGCAGAAGGGATTTTTTTTTAAAAGATCCAAATAATATATGCTGTGTACAAAAGACACAATTTAGATTCAAGGAAACAAAGAATTTGAAAGAAAAATAATGTAAAAAATATATCATGAACAGTAACCAAAAGAAAGCTGTAGTGGTTATACAAACAGGAGAAAAGATAGACTTTAAGACAAAATTGCTACTAAAGACAAGAATATTCTTTTATAATGATAAAAGAGTCAATGCATAAAGAAGATATAATAATTATAAACACATATGCACCTAACAACAGAGCTCCAAAATATGCAAAGTGAAAATTGACAGAATTGAAGGGAGAAATATTTAAGTCAACAATAAGAGTAGGAGACTTCAATATCCCACTTTCAGTAATGGATAGAACAACAATCATTGAGAAAGCAGATAATCTAGGAAATATAAGATTTGAAAACAACTGTCAACCAATTAGACTTCACAGACATCTAGGGCACGCGCCACCCAACAACAGCAAAATACAAATTCTTCTCAAGTTCACATGAAATATTCTCTGGCATAGGCCATATGTTAGTCCAAAAATCAAGCCTCAATAAACTTAAAGGGGTTGAAATCATACAAAGTATGTTCTCCTACCACAAGGGAATAACAGAAGGAACTTTAGGAAAGTTGTAAATATGTGGAAATTAAAAAACACACTTCTAAATAAATAATTAGTCAAAGGAGAAATTAGAAAATACTTCAAGGTGAATGAAAATTTTTAAAAAAATACCAAAGCTTATGAGATGAAGCTAAACCAAGGCTTAGAGGAATAGTTATAGTTGTAACTGTCTATATTTAAAAAGAAGAAAGATCTTAGATCAATTTTCCATCTTAAAAAGCTGAAAACGAAAGCCACGTAAACCCAAAGCAAGCAGAAGGAAGGAAATAGTAAAGATTAGAATGGAAATAAATGAAAT